ATCTGCAGAGCTGTGAGGGCGGGATCTGGGGGTTTTTAGGAGGATGTCCCCCACCTGAGCACAGAGTAGAGAACCAGTACAGTGACCGGCAGGGGTTAGGGGAGGATCAGGCTGTTTTTGTGTGGGGGAGGTTCCCAAAGCCCCAGGACCCCCCAGGAGATGCTCTGGCTAGGAAACCTTCAGAGCTGGACTGCTGTGCCTCCGGTAGATGGTCTGGTGAGGAAATACGTAAAGCTGGGACTTCTGTGCCCAAGGCCCAGCTTGAGAAAGAGACTGGGAGGGGTCTGCACTGATCTAAATCCACACTGCTGCCTACCCCCACAGGGCATGGGGGCATCTGGAATATGGTGGAGCCAGCTAGTCTGTGTAGACATTCCCGGCTCCCTCTCTGGGCTAAAAATAGGAGCCCCTCACTGCAGGCAGCTGCCATCCTGTATCCCCTCGCTGCCCTGTGCGCGGCCCCTTTCGGGGAAGCTGCGGCCAGCTACCCGGATCACAGCTTCCTCCTGGGAAACGGGTAGGGGCTCTACCCTTCCTGCCCCGGGGGTAATTATGCCTCCACCCCGTGCCCTTCCCTTTGAACAAAGGGCAGCCTAATCCAGAACAGGATGGTGAAAGGTTGAATTAACACTGGTCCATTTTACAGAGGGATAAACTGAGGCACAGACAGGCTCATGCACCTGCCCTCCAGGTGCCTTTCAGGTCCACTGGCTTCCAGGTGCTCCATCTTAGGTGGGAGGGACATTCTGCACCTTCAGACCTGAGCTGGGTCCTGGCCCTAGAAGGGGTTACTCCCCCACCCCTTTATCCCGCTGCAGGGAGGTCTCTCCAAAGCACCCCCACCTGGGGCAGGTGTCTCGGGCCTCTCCATCGGAGATAGGGGTGACAGCTGGGTTTGGGTGTTTAATAGCCTTATGGTGGAAGACTCTCAGACACCTGCTGCCATTAGGCTACACGCGGCCCTGGGGCTGGAAGTCTGGATTCAGGCCTTGGAGTCGGGGGCAGCTCTCCTACCTGCAGTTTTTTTTTTTTTTTTTTTTTGAGACGGAGTCTTGCTCAGTTGCCCAGGCTGGAGTGCAGTGGCGCCATCTCGGCTCACTTCAACTTCCACCTCCCGGGTTCAAGCGATTCTCCTGCCTCAGCTTCCCAAGTAGCTGGGACTACAGGCACCCGCCACCACGCCGGGCTGATTTCTGTATTTTTAGTACAGATGGGGTTTCACCTTGTTGGCCAGGCTAGTCTCGAACTCCTGACCTCTGATGATCCGCCCACCTCCGCATCCCGAAGTGTTAGGATTACAGGCGTGAGCCTCCGCGCCGCCCCGGTTGCAGTTTTGTCGAGGGAGGAGGTGCAACTAGGGGGAAGGACCGAGAGAAAAGTGGCAACGCGGTGTGCTAGTTTAGGGGAAGGGGAGGAGATGCCTACAACCCCGCCCCCAACAGTCAGGACCGGGGACCCGAGCCCGCCAAAGACCCTCCACAAGTTAGGGCCCCCCCGGGTGGCCCCTGCCCGCCCTCCAGTCTCCCCCAGGGCTCACGTCCGGGCTGGAGCCTGGGCCTCTAATCTTAGCCCCCTGGGGTCGCTTCCCGCGCACACAGCTCTCTGCAGAGCACGCGTCCCCCTCCCGACCGGCTTCCTTGCACCCCGCTCGGTGCCTCAGTTTCCTGCTCTGCGCAGTGGGGACAAGAAGGTTGCCCACTACAGAGAGGCGTGAGGGCTGGGGACGTGCAGGGACCTCCCTGGAGGGCGGCGCGGGGCACGTGGTTGGGCAAGCGAACGCTCAGACCGTGGAAGTCATCACCACCTTCACCGGGGGCAGCCAAGCTCCCGATGCTGGTGACAGCCGGGCCAGGTAGGGTCGTCCTGGTTTCACGAAGGGGCTCCGGGTCCCGGCGCGCACCTCCCCACGCCCACGCCGAGTCCCCGCCTACAGCCCGTCCCTCCCCAGAGGGAGGCCGGCGGGGCCCTGGCTCCCTCCCTCCGACGCCGCCCGCCCAGCTCTGCACCGGGTCTTTCAAGCCCATTTCACAGACTTGGAAACGGCGGCTCCGGAGAGAGAAGTCACTCTGGCAGGGTAGCTCTATCCAAGGGGTGAAGGTGAAACTCCGAGCCCAGGAGGCCCAGCCTAGGTGCTCCGTACGAAGGGAAGAGTCTTGGTCCCGGATCCGGCTCGGATGCGCCCCCAGCCAGCCCAGGAGGAGCCCGTCAGTCCCCTCTTCCTACCCCGGGGCGCTCTCGCCCCAGCCCGTGCCCCCCGCGCCCTCTGCGCTTGGGGCCGCGTCGTGCACTTTGCCCACCGTCCCTAGGCCGGGGGCGGGGCCTCCCGCGGCGCTGTTCCCCTTCCCGTTTATTATTTATTATCCTTTAAAGGGGCCGCGACCTGAAAATTTCCGTCCACTCTGCCCGGCTCCCCAGCGCCCCCGGGCTGGTTGCGCGTTGTCCGACCGCGCGCGGGGGGCGAGGGGGCGTCCGGGGAAAAGTGGGAGCCCTGGCGAGCCCCTCCCGCGCCCGGGCCGCGGCGCTGAATCACCGGCCAGGTATTTGCATCCGAGAGCGACTCGTCCCCTGGTGATTTGTCTGGGGGTGGGGGAGGGGCGGGGCGGGGGCCGGCCGCGCGCGGGGCGCCTCTTACCAATCGGGCGGAGGGGTGTAGACGCGGACGCGGCTGGCGGCTCGGTGAGTCGGCGCGCGGCACAGCCCCGTGGGTCGGGGGCCGGGAGCCAGGGGCGCGCACCGGCGGCTTGGAGGCCAGGCGGGCCCGGGCAGGCCGACCCCAGGCGCGGGGCGCGCGCCCCCCCACGAGCCGCCCTGCGCGGTAAGGCTGGGGGGCGCGCTGGCCGTTCCCAGCGCGGGTTCCGGTGCCGGGGTGGGCGCAGTGCGTCCTGGAAGCCAAAAAAGGGGGTCCCCAAAGTTGGGCGGAGATGTTGGTGGGGGTCCCGGGCTGGGGAGGCGGCCCTGGCGGTTCGGGGTTCGGGGAGTTTTCTTTGCGCCCCGCTTGGAGACTTCACTCCCCATTGGATCAATCGCTCAGGGGCGATCGGGGGTCGCGAGTGCGCGCCCCCCCTTCCCCAGCGGAAGGAAATGGTCTCTGCGCGCGCGCGGGGGGCTGCACCCAGATATTTTATTTCAGTTTTACTTTTTCTCCCCGAAATCAGGGGTTTATTCGGCAGCCCAGAGAGGAGGGAGGGTAGTTCCCGGCGAGCCTCCCCAGCCGGGCTGGTTTATTTATAAAGTGTCCGCCCTAGCGCAGAGAGGGGCCCCCGGGGGAGACACCGCGGCCCCCGCGCGCCGGGGTGGGTTGGGCCCGGGCGCCCGGTTCACCGGCGGGGATACCCAGGAAGAGCCCCCCGACCCGTTTCAGGGCCCCCCAGACACAAAAGCCGGCGCAGGAAGCGCTGGGAGCGCGCGTTTGTCAACTCCAACGTTCGGCGCCGACCCCAGGCGGCAGGTTCAATTATCTTCCGTTTTTAGGCGCTCGGGCTGGAGGGGTTCCCCCCCCATGCAAATCGGCCGCTTTCCAAGAAGCCTTTGAAATCCGGACCAGGGTTTCTGTGTTCTTGTTTCTTCTCCTTCATGAGTTTTTTTCTCACTTCCTCCAGGCCCCCCCAACCCAGGAGTTTCTTAGCCCCCTCCCCAGCTTTCTGCCCCGCCCCTCCCCCTCCTCTTCCCTTCGTGGAGTGAGGGGCCCCTTTCGCCACCCGCGGGCCCAGGGCCTTGCACAACTCTTTAAATAACCATGTTTTGCAAGGCCCGGGCCGAGCGGGTGACCTCTCTCCGGAGGCCTGGGGGGAGGAGGGTGTGGCCCAAGATCCCTCCGCCCCCCACCCCTGCCAGGTCCAACGACCACCCAGTGCCCTGTCCCAGCCTCTCCCTTGGGGCTGTCATAAAATGGGGGTGGGGGTCGAGGACAAAGGGCTCTTGGGGGGAGGGGTCTGAAGGGGGTGGGCGTTGCCAGTTTAGGGTTAATGGCGGCGATGGGGGGGCACCCAGCCCTGGCCTAGGGGGGGATCTGGGATCCCCACCTGCCCCCTCCACCGGCCCCAACGTGGAGGTCTGTCCTGCTCCCCTCCCCCATCGGGCGACCCGGAAGGGTCATTAAACCCAGCAGGGCTCGGAGCGGGCTGGTGGGGGGAGTGGCTTCCTTTGGCCTCTTCCTTCTGTGCCCCCAAAGAGGGGGGGCTTTGCTTGGAGCTCTTCCGTGGGGGGGGGCTTGTCTTGAAGTTGTCACAGGTGGGGGAAGGGCGACAGACCGGACCAGACCCTGAGTCAGAAATGCCCCCTCAGCACTATCTTGGGTTGGGTGGGGGGGGGTGACCGCAGGCCAGGGGGTGGGGGGCTGGGTGCCGCCCTGGTGGCCTCTGGACCACCAAGCTCTCCTGGTCACTCCTCAGCACTATGGCCCTGAGGTCTTTGACCTGGGACCTCTGTCCCCACAACAGATGGAACAGAGGCTTATTTCGGAACGTGGCCTCCCTGCTTTCTCCCAGGGGCCACCCACCTGCCCCCCACTGCCTTTCACCCATGGGGCCGAAAGACTCAGGGGTCTGGGTAAAGGGTATCTGGGGCAGAGGGGGCTGCACGGCTCTCCCCTCCCGTGCCTGGGAAGGCTTGAGGGGGTCTGCTGTGTAACACTGACCTGGGTGGGGTCAGGTCACAGGAGGCATCTGAGTCCCAGGAGTCCCTGCCTCCTCGCCTCTCCAGACCTTGTCTACCCAGGAGCTGTTTATGAGTCTTGGGGGCTCCTTTGCCAGGGTAAGGGTTGGGGGCAGCCTCCTGGGCCCAGCTGCCTCTCCGGAGGGTGGAGCTTTGCCCCCTCCGCTGTCCTCATGATGTGCCTTCCCTCTGGGGTGTCACTCCAGGCCTGTTGGGTTCTGCCCGGCCTGTTTTATTGGCGGCCTGGGCGGGTGGAGGTGTGGCCTGGGCTGGGGGGTGGCTGGGGTGGCTGGGTTGGGACCCAGCCCCCGGGAAGTCTCTGTTCCTCGCCCAGGCCATCAGGACTGGCCCTGGGTGGACGGGACTTTAGGCTGGAGTGAGTGTGTTGCCGTCCCAGACATCCAGCCCACTCGGAGTCCCAGAGGACTGGGAAACTCCAGACCCCTGTTGCCCTGCGGAGACTGTGAGGTTCAAACCCCAGCCCCATGTGTCCAAGCAGAGGGTCCCTGAGCCTCAGTTGTCCTCAACTGTGAAATGGGACCACCCTGGTGCCCCCTTCCCTGACACCTATTGGTGCCCACCTTAACCTCCTGAACGCGATTCATCCCTCCTTGAGTGCCATGGGGGGAGCACTGTTAATCCACGCCATTTTGCAGGTGGGGAAACTGAGGCCCAGAGAGGCTGGGGCTTGGGCGTTGCTGTTGAGTTGTGTGATGCGGGGAGAGTTAGCCCAGGGCCCGTATACAACAAGCAGTCAATCTCGGCCAGCCACCATCTCTGTTGGCCTGAGATGGGAGGATACCTGGATACCTGGAGTCCGGGCTGGGCTGCTCCAACAGGGATTCAGGCAGCAGCTGGAACTTAGAACCCACCTGACTGTGGCCCAGAGCCCGCTGGCCAATCACAGGCCAGGAACGCCCATTCCCCCACCCTGCTTGTGAAGCAATAATCCAAGATCTCCTGGGGCAGACAGTCTGGCCACAGTGTGTTTCTCTGTGGCCCAGAGCGGAGGGACCTTGCTACCCAGGCCCACAGTAGGGTGTATGCGAAGAGCCTGCGCCTCTGCCTCCAGGAGGGCCTCCAGGTCTGCATCCTGCATGAGATGGACATGAGAGCTGATCCCCAGGGCCTTCATGGGGAAGGAGGGGGCCTGAGGAGCTCAGGTCTGCTCTGACCGTCCCTTTTTTCCCCCCTCAGGTTTCTGCAGATGCGTGAATGAGCCAGACACCAGCCTCTGTCCCCTGGAGCCCAGCGTGAGGAAGAGGCATGCCCTGTCAGCCTTCAGCCTGAGCCCGGCGGCCCCCGCCCCCGCCCCCTGCCACCCTGCACTGCCCCGGCTCCCCCGCGGCCCCCACGCTGCAGTGCGGCCGGGCCCCCTCCCCGCAGGGGCCGCCCCCGCCGCCCACCCCTAGCGCCCGTGGTGGTGGTGGTGGTGGCCCGGGCCGCAGGGCCATGAAGCTGCAGGCCGTGATGGAGACGCTCTTGCAGAGGCAGCAGCGGGCGCGCCAGGAGCTGGAGGCCCGGCAGCAGCTGCCCCCCGATCCCTCCGCTGCACCCCCCGGCCGGGCCCGGGCCGCTGCCGATGAGGACAGAGAGCCCGAGAGTGCTCGGATGCAGCGGGCTCAGATGGCTGCGCTGGCCGCCATGCGGGCTGCAGCTGCGGGCCTGGGACACCCGGCCAGCCCCGGGGGCTCTGAGGATGGGCCCCCAGGCTCGGAGGAGGAGGACGCGGCCCGGGAGGGGACACCGGGCTCACCCGGCAGAGGCAGAGAAGGGCCGGAAGAGGAGCACTTTGAGGACGTGGCCTCCGACGAGGACATGTGAGTTGGGGTCTGGGGTAGGGCCTTCCGGGGGCTGTTACTGGCTCTGAGCCATCGCTTTGCTCATCTGCAGAATGTGAGTAAGGGTCCTGCCGCGGGGTCTCCTGCCTGTAATTCCAGCAGTTTGAGAGGCCGAGGTGGGAGGATCACTTGGGCCCAGGGCTTGGAGACCAGCCTGGGCAACATAGCAAGACCCCATCTCTGCAAAAAATTAGCCAGGCATGGTGGTGCACCTGTGGTCCCAGCTACTGGGGAGGTTGAGGCAGGAGGATCCCTTGAGAACAGGAGGTTGAGGCTGCAGTGAGTTGTGATTGCTCCAGTGCACTCCAGCCTGGGCGACAGAGACAGACCCTGTCTCAAAAAAAAAGGTTTTTTTAGCTGGGTGCTGTGACTCATGCCCGTAATCCCAACACTTTGGGAGGCTGAGGCGGGTGGATCACCTGAGGTCAGGAGCTGAAGACCAGCCCGGCCAACATGGCGAAACCTCATCTCTACTAAAAATACAAAAATTAGCTGGGCGTGGTGGCAGGCGCCTGTAATCCCAGCTCCTCAGGAGGCTGAGGCAGGAGAATCGCTTGAACCCAGGAGGCGAAGATTGCAGTGAGCTGAGAATGTGGTGGTTTTTTTTTTTTTTTTTTTAGAGAGAGTTGCTCTTTTCACCCAGGCTGGAATGCAACGGCGTAATCTCTGCTCACTGCAACCTCTGCCTCCTGGGTTCAAGTGATTCTCCTGCCTCAGCCTCCCAAGTAGCTTGGATCACAGGCGCATACCACCATAGTCGGCCAATTTTTGTATTTTTAGTAGAGACGGGATTTTGCCATGTAGGCCAGTCTGGTCTCCAACTTACGTTTTTTTAATAAAGGGAGTAAGTGAGTGTCCTGTGGACCCTGTTCCCCTGAGCAAGTGTTTATCCACCCTGTACTGTGTGCCGGGCAGTCAGCCTTTCAGGATGATGATAAAAATGTTCTCCATTTCTAATCTCTAGCACAGGAGTGGCCATTAAACACTGGAAATGTTGTCAGGGCAACTGAGGTCTGGGTTTTTAACTTTGTTTCATCTTTTTTTTGAGACGGAGTCTCGCTCTGTCACCCAGGCTGGAGTGCAGTGGCGCAATCTTGGCTCACTGCAAGCTCCGCCTCCCGGGTTCACGCCATTCTCGTGCCTCAGTCTCCCAAGCAGCTAGGACCACAGGCGCCCGCCACCACGCCTGGCTATTTTTTTGTGTGTTTTTAGTAGTGACGGGGTTTCACCGTGTTAGCCAGGATGGTCTCAACCTCCTGACCTCATGATCCGCCCGCCTCGGCCTCCCAAAGTGCTGGGATTATAGGCGTGACCCACCGCGCCTGGCCGCCTTTGTTTCATCTTAGTTAACTTAAAGCAACGTAGCCAGCGACGACGATGGCGGATTCAGTGGCGGCAGATCCAGCGTGAGGGGCAGATAAAATCTGCAGCCAGCCGGACCTGCATAGCGTGTGGGTCCCCCCAGGGCTGGTTGAGGGCTCACTCGCTGTGGGACCCTGACCTCCAGGAACCCGCATCTTCCTGGGAGGACCTGAGCAAGTAAAGATGCCGGGCGCGGTGGCCCACGCCTGCAATCCCAGCACTTTGGGAGGCCCAGGTGGGAGGATCGCTCGAGCCCAGGAGTTCAAGACCAACCTGGGCAACATAGTGAGACCCCATTTCTACAAAAAGTACAAAAATTAGTCGGGTGTGGTGGCGCGCATCTGTGGTCCCAGCTACTTGAGAGGCCGAGGCGGGAGGATTGCTTGAGCTCAGGAGGTCAAGACGGCAGTGAGCTGTGATCATACCACTGTACTCCAGCCTGGGCAACAGAGAAGACCCTGTCTCAAAACACAAACAAAACTGGCCGGGCACGGTGGTTCACGCCGGTAGTCCCAGCTACTCAGGAGGCTGAGGCAGGAGAATCGCTTGAACCTGGGAGGCAGAGGTTGCAGTGAGCAGAGATCGCACCACTGCACTCCAGTCTGGGTAACAGAGTGAGGCTCTGTCTCAAAAGAAAAAAACCAACCGAACAAAACCTAGCAAAGAAGCAGGTGATGTCAGGTTGTACAAAGAGCTGCAAGAAAATCTAGGAGGGTGCCGTGGAGGGGCAGTGGCCAGGGTGGGGTGGATTTCAGATAGCGGTGGGAGAATTCTCCCTGTGGAGGGAATGGGAGGTGGAGCTGAGATGGCATGCATGGTGCAGGAACCAACCTGCCACAATGATTCCCATTTTTTTTTTTTCAAGAGACGGGGTCTTGCTCTGTGGCCCAGGCTGGAGTGCAGTGGTGCCATCATAGCTCACTGCAGCCTCCACTTCCTGGGCTCAAGGGATCCTCCCGCCTTGGCCTCCCAGAGTGCTGCAGGGATTATAGGCATGCGCCACCGTGCCTCCTGCGTGATGCTTTTCAAGGCCCCAAAATTCACGCTGTAGGGACGGCGTGTGCTGTTCTGGGCTAATTGGGAACAAAATGGACGTCACGGCTGCCCCACGCAGGCTGTGCTCACGGGCATGCTCTGCAGCCTGAGCTGGCGGCGGCCGGCTCTTCCTATTTCCAGAGAGGGAAACTGAGGCTGGGTGGGGTGTGGGTCTCTCCCTAGGCTGGTACGAGCCAGCACCTTCTCCCCTGACTCCTGCCCTCTGCTCACCCCAGGAAGCCCAAATGGGAGGAGGAGGAGATGGAGGAAGACCTCGGGGAGGATGAGGAGGAGGAGGAGGATTACGAGGATGAGGAGGAGGAGGAGGACGAGGAGGGGCTGGGGCCCCCAGGCCCTGCCAACTTGGGCACCACGGCACTGTTCCCCCGAAAGGCCCAGCCACCCCAGGCCTTCCGAGGCGATGGCGTTCCCAGGGCGCTGGGGGGCCAGGAGCGGCCGGGGCCTGGCCCTGCCCACACCGGAGGGGCCCACGTAGCTCCGCAGCTGCAGCCGCCTGACCACGGGGACTGGACGTATGAGGAGCAGTTTAAGCAGGTGAGTGGATGCGTCCCGTGTGGCGGCCGAGCACCTGCTCCCGGGGCCACTGGGGCCCTTCGAAGGCCCCCCGTTGCGCGGGGTGTGTGCTGAGCCGGGCGTCGAGTTGAGAGCTGGGGATTCCTGCGGTAGCTCTGCTTCCTGTGCTTCCCTCCTGGCTGTGGGCTCGACCATTGTTATTGCTCTGATGTGGGGTTTGTGAGGAGTGCCCGCCGCGAAGGAGAAAGCTGGGGGGCTTCACAGCCCCCGTATCGGAGGTGATGGGGCAGAGAGGGAAGGCGGGTCTGGGAGGGAGGCTGGCGCCAGCCCGAGCTGGGCGTGGGCTGGAGGAACCAGGCATGTGGGCGATGCGGGCAGAGAGACCGGGGCCTTGGTGACGCGGTGACATGGCCTCCTCGGTCCCCTGGCATCTGTGGAGAGCCATGGGGGGGTTGCAGGCTGCAGCCGGCAGCCGAGGGGACCTGGGGGTGACTCAGGTGCGACTGCAGGAGACGCAGGAGAAAGCGTCTGTGAGGCTCCGAGTGGATGGTTAAGGCCGGGGCCGGCAGGGGGGTCTCAGGGACCCCAGGCTGAAGGAGGAAGTAGGGGCCGCTCCAGCCTTTCCCTGCAGGCGGCCAGGCCAGAGGAAGTGGCCGAGCGGGGGATGCTTTGAAGTTGGACCGTGCTGGGCTGGGCAGATGGAAACCAGATGGTGGCCAGGCTCACATTCCAGCCCTCGGCCAGCTGGGCTCTGCCCTGACCTCTGGGTGCGGCTGCGGGGAACCACCTCCTCGCCCGGGGCTGGAGGCTGGTCTGGGCTCCTGCAGGGAGGTGGGTGATGGACACGCTGGGACATGCCTGCCTTGGGGCAGCCCCTTCAACCCTGGGCTTCCTGGGCTTCCAGAATCCGCTCCCAGAAGCCTCCTAGGAGGGGCCGAGGCACAGATTCCCAGTGGGGCCTCCCGGGGCTCCTGACTCCAGGGGTGCCTGGTAGCTTAAGGGGCGGTTCTAACCCCAGCAACCCTCAGGAGACTTAAGTTTGGACTGCCTGGAAACTCACAAAGAGTAAAGAGCTGAAAGCTGGACATGGTGTGGGAGAACGGCCAGGGCTGCGACGGGGACTCGGGGAGGGGCGCGTCTCGCCAATTCCACCCTGCTCCGTGACTCGGTTTCCCTCTCCTGCAGAAGGGGATACTCCACGGGCCACGCCGCCACGAGTCCCATTTTGCCAGTGAGAAAACAGAGGCTCAGCGCTGGGAGAAGGGGTCTTGTGATCTTTTCTGGGTTTAAGATGGTACAGATGAGCGTGTTGAGAGTGGATTCTCTTTTTTTTTTTTTTGAGACGGAGTCTCGCTCTGCCGCCCAGGCTGGAGTGCAGTGGCCTGATCTCAGCTCACTGCAAGCTCCGCCTCCCGGGTTCACGCCATTCTCCTGCCTCAGCCTCCCCAGTAGCTGGGACTACAGGCGCCCGCCACCTCGCCCGGCTAGTTTTTTTGTATTTTTAGTAGAGACGGGGTTTCACCATGTTAGCCAGGATGGTCTCGATCTCCCGACCTCGTGATCCGCCCGTCTCGGCCTCCCAAAGTGCTGGGATTACAGGCTTGAGCCACCGCGCCCGGCCAGAGAGTGGATTCTCTTTAATTTCATTTGTTTATTCACCCAATATTTGCCGTCTGCCCGGGACTCAGCCCGCAGCAAGCCCTGGGCTGAGGGGGCGGCAGGAGCTGGACGGAGACCTCCATCCCCGCAAGGTTATAGCCAAGCCCAGAGGGAGGGTCAAGGCCCCCCATTCAGTCGGTCCTTCGGGGGTCAGAGGGGGACCTGACCCTGGACACGTGCGCCGCCCGGACAGCCGCGGCCTCCGAGGCCCAAAGCCGACGGGTGAGTTTTGGGGTGACCGGCCCGGATCAGGCAGGGACGAGGGGCCAGGCGCCCTGACCCCACAGTCTGTAGCGTGTCCAGAACAAAGGCGGGAGGCAGAGGCCACTGTCCAGCTTGTCTGGGCGACACCCAGGTCGCGGTCCAAGGTGCCACGCAGGGTTTTTCTGCAGCGGGAAGCCAAGATGGGGAAACTGAGGCCAGAGCAGGGAGGCAGTCACTGTGTCACCAGCGGCCTCAGGTATTCATGGAGCTCCTGCCTCGTGCCCGGCCCCCTGGTCCCCCGCACCTGCCCCCTGGGTGTACCGGGAACGGACTGCACAGAGGCCCTGAGAGGTAGACTAAAGCTTGGCTTGTGTGTAGGGACCGGGTGCAGCCTCCGGGCTGGGCCTTGTGTGTAGGGACCGGGTGCAGCCTCCGGGCTGGGCGTTGTGTGTAGGGACCTGGTGCTGCCTCCGGGCTGGGCGTTGTGTGTAGGGACCTGGTGCTGCCTCCGGGCTGGGCCTTGTGTGTAGGGACCTGGTGCTGCCTCCGGGCTGGGCCTTGTGTGTAGGGACCTGGTGCTGCCTCCGGGCTGGGTGTTGTGTGTAGGGACCTGGTGCTGCCTCCGGGCTGGGTGTTGTGTGTAGGGACCTGGTGCTGCCTCCGGGCTGGGCCTTGTGTGTAGGGACCTGGTGCCGCCTCTGGGCTGGGTCTTATGTGTAGCGGCCGGGTGCTGCCTCCGGGTCTTGCAGGAGACGGGATTGGAACTCCGAGAAGATGGGGCCGAGGGAGGGTTGTGGGCAGTGGGTCTTGGGGGAGGCCCCCGCCCTGCAGTCCTGTCATTTTTTTTTCCCCCTAGAGAAGGGCTCTCGCTATGTTGCCCAGGTTGGTCTCAAACTCCTGGGCTCAAGTGATCTGCCTAACTCAGCCTCCCAAAGTGCTGGGATTGCAGGCCTGAGCCACCGCGCCCGGCCGTGCCTGGGATCTTACCCTGGGCCGTTCGTGGCAGGTCCAGCCGCTGATGCTGCCGCCCGCCCAGCTGGCCAGGCACCTGCGTTCCCAGTGTCAACAGTGGCCTGGGCCCAACCAGCCCAGTCAGTGTTACCCCCGCACCCCCGCTGGGGCCCCTGTTGACTCTGGCGCCTGCCCCACCCCCTTCCTGGCACGTGGCAGCCCTGGCCCGCCGGCCGGCCGCTTGGCACTGTCTCTGCCTCTTCCTCCCAGATCCTGGCAGGCCTCGGGGCTAACTTCCGCCTGCAAATCCTCGACAGCTGTGAAATTCTGCTGTCGGCTGCAGGTCTGGTGGGTGGCCAGGCTGCAGGGGGGGCCGGGTGCAGCAGGCTCAGGGCCACGAGTTCTTTCCCTGGACACCTGGAACCTCACTGCCTGGGGACGTGCAGTTTTGGAGGCCAGCACGTGTCAGGCAGCGATTAGGATCTCAGCCTCTTGATGTCTGACGTAGGCTCCTGGTGGCCTCCCGTCACCCACACAGCAGGCCTGGGTTCTAGAAAGTGGCCATGGTAGGATTTTGTTGGATTATGATTATAATTTTTGAGGCAGGGTCTTACTGTGCTGCGTAGGCTGGAGTGTAGTGGTGCCGTCCTAACTCCCTGCAGCCTCGATCTCCTGGGGTCAAGCGATCCTCCTCCCTCAGCCTCCTGAGTAGCTGCGAGCACAGACGGGTGCCACCCCACTCAGCTAACTTTTGTAGAGATGGGGTCTCACTATGCTGCCCAGGCTGGTCTAGAACTCCTGGGCTCAGGCAATTCTGCCCACCTTGGCCTCCCAAAGTGCTGGGATTACAGGCGTGAGCCACCGCACCCCACCATCGTGGGATTTTATTTATTTTTTTATTTTTTTAATTTGTTTATTTGAGACGGAGTCTTGCTCTGTCGCCCAGGCTGGAGTGCAGTGGCGCAATCTCAGCTCACTGCAAGCTCCGCCTCCCGGGTTCACGCCATTCTCCTGCCTCAGCTTCCCGAGTAGCTGGGGCTACAGGCGCCCGCCACCTCGCCCGGTTAGTTTTTTTTTTTTGTATTTTTTTAGTAGAGACGGGGTTTCACCGTGTTAGCCAGGATGGTCTTGATCTCGACCTCGTGATCTGCCCGTCTTGGCCTCCCAAAGTGCTGGGATTACAGGCTTGAGCCACTGCGCCTGGCCATCTCTTTTTTTTTTTTTTTTTTTGAGACAGAGTCTCTCTCTGTGGCCCAGGCTGGAGTGCAGTGGCCGGATCTCAGCTCACTGCAGGCTCCGCCTCCTGGGTTCACGCCATTCTCCTGCCTCAGCCTCTCAAGTAGCTGGGACTACAGGCGCCCGCCACCACGCCTGGTTTGTTTGTTTATTTATTTATTTATTTATTTATTTTTAGATGGAGTCTTGCTCTGTCACTAAGGCTGGAGTGCAGTGGCGCAATCTCAGCTCACCACAACCTCTGCCTCCTGGGTTCAAGCGATTCTCCTCCCTCAGCCTCCTGCGTAACTGGGATTACAGGCGCCGCCACCACGCCCGGCTAATTTTTGTGTTTTTAGTAGAGATGGGGGTTTCACCATGTTGGCCAGGGTGGTCTCGAACTCCTGACTTTGTGATCTGCCTGCCTCGGCCTCCCAGAGTGCTGGGATGACAGGCGTGAGCCACTGCACCCGGCCTCTCGATACGCTTTTGGTTCCAGAAGTGACACTTGACACTCTTTTTGCAGAGAGGAAGAAAATGGAACGTTTACAGTGAGCCCCGAGTCCCCCTTGACCTCTAGGGCATGAGCCGTGCGTTCTCCAGGCCTTTCTCTGCCCACGTGCACCCGGGAATGTGACCTGGGAGGTATCTAACGTGATCTGCAGCGGAGGCTGAGAGGGTCCTCCCACCGCTGGCTTCGAGGAGCTGTTTATCGCGGTGCGTTGGCGTTGTAATTGGGACGTTCTGAGATGCCTGGTTCTTTTTAGCTGTGTGGATGTTCCCCTCGTGGCCCTGGACGCCGACATATCCACACGCTTCCCGCGGTCATTTCCACACACTTCCCTCGGTCATTTCCACACACTTCCCTCGGTCATTTCCCTGTTGTAAACAATACCGTAATGAACATCTCTGGGGCGTGGGAGGTGCTTGGAGCAGTGTGGGGAGGAGGTGGGGAGCTGGAATTGCCAGCGCTCTGGGAGAAGCGGGCACAC